ACCGGACTGCTTTCTGGCAATTCCAGTCAAATCATTTACCTACAAAGTGCAGGTTGGATAAGGTCAGATTTTTGCAGACCTCAAATTTTTGGCAAGATGTTTCTGTACTTGTAAAAGGTCCATTTATCTTCCCTGTCTTGTTATATTTAATTGTTGAGAATCTTCCACTTTTACAGTTGGAATGAACCAATCACTGGGGGTGGGCAGGGTGGGGGAGAGCAACAGAGGAAAAATTGGGACAATGGTAATTTAACAATTTAAAAAAATAGCAAAGTAAAGCAATACTGATAAGCAGTCAGCAAAACTGCTTTAGTTTCTAAATTCACCCAACAGACAAATGGAAAAACCATCGTGTGGGCCATATAATTTAGACAATTCAAGGTGTTATGATTGTTTGGTATGTACCTGTGATATAAATGACTCATCACGTTTTTTACCTTGGCTTTCACCTTTAATCATATTAAAGGTTTGCTTCCTATTTTGGCAAAAATATAATTCTCATATATTCAGACCAGAGTTATATGTGAAATCACTCAACTGTGTAGGAGACAAGAGACAGCTAATTTCTATCTCATTCTGTCTCTGATTTTGAATTAGTTGGCTGAAAACTGCAGTAGGACCAATGTATATGAGAGAAGAAGATCACAGTAACTTCAAGCTGAAAGACACAGCTGCAAGTTTCTTAGAAAACATCAAATACTGTAACCATTTCCTTTAAATATTTAATTTAAAAGGGGGATCATCTACCCACCCATTACAAATTTGAATGCTTTGGCTATCTCAAAATCTTAACCTTCATCTGGTCTGAAGGGTCTTGTAAATTATGATGCTCTTAGGGGAGAAACATCGGGTACTGACCATATTAAAGTCCATTGTAAAAAGAAAAAGAAATAATTCTAGCCATCTTATACCATTCGATTCCTTCCATGTTTTAAACATAAAATATACCACCATTTTAAAATAAATAATATCTATTATATTGACTTTTGGTTTTGCATGTGTCTGTCATCTCATCATTGACAATGAGGACTGAATAACAGTCTCACAAGACATCTATTTCCCTATTGATCCCCAACATTTTAAATATGACACTTTCTTTTCATTACTTTGTTTTTACATGTTGAGAAGAGAGAAACTGCTTTTTATATTGCACAGTAACTGTCCAGATAACAAAAAGCGGTGGTCTATGGAGCAAAAGTCACGAATTTCTAGTACAAGGAAATGTGATATAGAGTAGGAACTTGACATATCTATTCCAAAGACCAGTGGGTTCATAGCTTATCCTGTGGAAACATTGAAGATTTGGGTCCTAAACTCATAATCACGGTGAACATAGTTCCTACTGTGAACATAATATAGTCCTAGTTTATGGTTTTCACAGGCAAAATATAAGTATGAATAGAGACCCCTTTCACTTTAAAAAATGTCCCAGTTGAAGTAATAAATTATACAGCTATTCTTTGCAAAATAAATAAACACATAACTTACAATGCATAATTGTGACACAGACATTGCTTCCTGTCCTGAGGAATTTTGCAGGCCCTGACATCTTTTTTCCTCAATTATTTCACACACACACACACAAACCTGTGTGGTAAGTCAAAACTGTAGCCTCCGCTTTCTAGTTCCAAAATAAAACATAACCTACATGCCTTTAAATATTCTATTACCAGGCTTATTGAAATATAAAACATGGTTTCCTAAGTGCATAACTTTTAACATATGTCACACATTCACTGTGGGACTGAAATGTCCTCTTTAAAAGGGTTTAGGGAATAGTAAACATATTACCAAACCATACTTTCACTGACACCCAATAACGACTTCTCATCCATTCAAGTATGTTTATCTAGTGCCTTCAATGGGCCATATCTTGAAACTGCAGAAAGCACAAAAAAACTCCAAAAGCTCAGAACCTGTGGGATGGAAAAACATTTCTTCACAGAGAATTTTTAAATGTAGGACATTTTATATGCAAAAATAGTAGCTGATACCTCTTAGCTCACAATTAAAGTAAGCATGAAGTGCATGTGTGTGGACTGTCAGTTCCGTTCAGAATTTCTGAGGGGACTTTCATCTTAGCCATACTTATGTGACTTCCAGAAAAAAGAAATCTTGGTAATGGAAAATAGTGTTCACAGAAAAACAAAGGCAATGTACCTGGATTAGAGTTGCTAATTAAGGGAGAAAACAAATGACTATTCCATTATTGATGAGAAAGAACAGGATTTTGTCTCTTTAGAGTTCATGAGAGTGGAAGTCAGATAAATGAGGAATATCTCTATAGCAACTTTCTCATTTCCTTTTGTGTAATGTATCCACATTTATCAATGCATCCCCCCCCAAAACTAAGCAGCATTATATTAAAAGGTAATATAATGCTCTCACCAGCATCAGGGCAAGAGCTGGAGGACAGCTTTCTTTCAGACAGAAAGGCAGGCAGAGGCCACTGTCCCTTTTCTGAGACCTCCCCCCACAGAGCCACAGAGCCAGCAGGTGGATACCATATATGAGACTCCATCAATCTGGCTAACACTGTTTGCCCCACCCTGGAGATCCCCAGACTCCATCCCACCCAACTTATGGGCCCACCCAAACTGTTAGCCATAACTTTTCCATATAAATGGTTGATCTTGTCTCATGCTTCACAACTTCCTAAATTCTCTCAAACAAGCAACAGCTGGCCTCTGTGAGCCCCCAACCTCTATACCTCTTGCTAATTGGTCCCAGACCCAGCACTTGCAGCATCTGGTCTAGATTCACAGCTGGGCTTCACCTGGAATCTCCAAGCCAAGAACAAGTAGCAGCTATCTCAAATTGCTTTATGCTCATGCAGGGTGGCCCCAGGCAAAGCACTGAAGGGGGCTCACCTTCATCTGCACCACCCAGAAAACCTCAGAGCCTGTGCACCCAGTGGACAGCAACAGACACACTGGAGCACCACCACCCTGCCCTTGCACAGCTGATCCTCCATGGAGGGCAGAGGTTGGTGGTTAGTAGTCACAGCCAGTCCTTGCAGCTGACTGGCCTGGGTAAACCCCTCTCATTGACCTGCCAACAGTAATCATAGGGGTGCCAGAAGAAGAAGAGAAAGAACAAGAAACTGGAAACCTATTTGAAAAAATAATGACAGAAAACTTCTTAATTTGGTGAAGGAAATAGACATGCAAGTCCAGGAAGCACAGAGAGTCCCAAACAAGATGGATACAAAGAGGACCACTCTAAGACACAGCTTAATTAAAATGCCAAAGGTGAAAGATAAAGAGAGAACCTTAAAAGCAGCAAGATAGAAGCAGTTAGTTACCTACAGGGGAGTTCCGGTAAGACTGTCAGCTGATTTCTCAAAAAGAACTTTGCAAGCTAGAGGGGATTGGCAAGAAATATCCAAAGTCATGAAAAGCTGGGATCTACAGTCAAGATTGCTCTACCCAGCAAAGCTATCATTTAGCACAGAAGAGCAGATATAGAGCTTCCCAGAAAAGAAAAAGCTAGAGTTCATCACTACCAAACCATTATTATATGAAATGTTAAAAGGACTTATTTAAGGAAAAGAAGATCAAAACTGTGAGTAATAAAATGGCAATAAATACATATCTATCAACAATTGAATCTAAAAAATAAACTAAGCAAACAAGAAGGACAGAGACAGAATAATGAATACAGAGAGTGTTTTGATGGTTGCCTGATGTTAGGGGCTGTGGGAATGGGTAAAGAGGTGAGGGGATAAATAAGTACAAATAGGTAGTTACAGAATAGCCATGGGCATGTAAAGTACAGTATAGGAAATGGAGTAGCCAAAGAACTTACATGCATGACCCATGGACATGAACAATAGTATAGGAATTGCCTGAGGGAGTGGGGAGTACTGGGTGGAAGGGAGCAAAGGGAGAAAAACTGGGACAAGTGAAATAGCATAATCAATAAAATATAATTAAAAGAAAAAAACAAATAATCTAAACAAATTCCATGAACCAATTTTTATTCTTTTGCTTGAGCATAGCTTTTATATAGACCACTCCTAAATCTAAACAAATGCCTATAGTAAAGCCATAAGAGAGTCTGAGATAATACATCTGTTTTGCTAACCATTCTAAAACAGCTAAAAATAAGACTTAAACACATCTGAGCCAGTACAAACAGTTAAAACTCCTTGTTAAATAGAAAGCAGCTTAGCAAGCAAAAATGTACAGATAAAATAGAGTTTTTTTTCCAGTACCCACCTGGCACCATACATAGTTAATACAATATTATTGACTATATTCCCTATATTGTATCTTATATCCCCATGACTATTTTCTAACTACCAATCTGTACTTTGCAATCCCTTCATCTTTTTCACCAAGTTCCCCAACCCCCTTCCCTTCAGATACTTTTTATAATAATATATGACCTCTACATGTAGTAGACAATAGTTAAGGGAAACAATCCAAACTTGTTTCTTAAGAACTAATGATACATATGAAATGTTCTCCATGAGTGAAATACTTAATAAAATCAGTTCATATTAGTTCCAAAATAAGGAATGTCCTTTGAAAATGATTTTCTGACCTAATTGTTATTGTAAACACTGGTACAGTTTAAAACAAATATTTCTAATATGTACCCACACACCAAGCACAATTAGATTAGGCTTTCCCTAAAGACTTCATAAATGTCCAATTAAATCTTAACAAATGCAAAGTATAAGCCAGATAGATCCTCCCCTAACAGATATCTCAAAATTCTTGGAACTTTCACAAGGGTTAAACCTTACAGTCCACGTTATTTTTTTAATAAAATGATTGAAGTATGTATACCACGGCATAAAATTAGCATTTGAATTAACAATTTTCATATCTATTGTTTCAATATTGAAAAGAGGAAGTGATGTTGTTACTATGCCATTAAGATAATATGCTGGATTTCAACTGCTCATGAATGAAAAAAAAATGTTATTCATATTTTCACATTTTATTTCCCAATTTATAATCCACCCTGTTTCACAATGCTAATATATTTACCTTCATTTTTCTTGATGGTAAAATTCGGATTGTTGGCCATTTCTGGAAGAAGGCTGTATAGGAAATAATGTCCATTTTTGGGCTCATCCTTGTCCATGGCGCTCACTGTTTGAATGACCTGTAACATAAAACTTGACATCAGCATCTCTGATGACATCCATGGTTTGAACTGCCTTTAAAAGTTGAGTGACATCCCTTCTGGTCCAAGGAATTTTTGCTCAATTTTCTAAATGGTCATGGATGGTTGGTACCAAGAATAGGGAGAAACATTCATCACTTTCAAACCTCTGTTTTGATTAGTTGGTGAGAATTAAGGTCATTGTCTTTATGTCCATTGGGTGTCAGGGGCTCGCCATAGCATATTAAAAGGTATTTGAAAATTCCCACTGGACAACTATATGTTTCTTTCCAATTTGAGTATAGACAGGCATCTTGAATGGGATCTGGAATTGTCATAGTGAGTATAGTGTGACTTTGGGGACAACCTTGGAGGTAGAAGAATGAAATCTTGAACCCTCACAATTTCTCTTTAATTTTTCTCGTCAGGTTGCAAGTGTTTGCCAAGTATAAGAACATTCCCCAGCACAAACATCACCTCAACAAACCTTTCTAAAGACTTGCATCTTTTCCCACCCAAGAATAAAGACTGTTTTTAAAGCTAGTGGATAACACATGCAAACAATGCCTTGGAGTGTATCCGGAGATGAATAAATTATAGGGATTAGAAGAATTACCACTGTACAGAGAACTGTTTGGATAGATATGCAGACTCGGAATTGGTGCCGGTTGAATGTGCTTCTTTCATTTGCAAAGCTGCATTAACTTAGGGCTAAGTTATTTCTTGGGATGTCAGAGAATTAGCTTAATAATTCATATTTATGATTCTGTGATATTAATCACTTCAATATAAAACTCTGGGCAATAGCTAATGTAGGAAAAATTACAGCTTATACTTCATTATGAATCACTACAACACAATTTCTACAAGAAATGTCTATGAAGCATGACAGTCAAGGTGATATCAAATTTACCATAAAAAATTAACAGGCGAAAGCTCTCACATTTATGAAATTTAGAGACTGTAAGGGTGATGCCTAATAAACTATGTCTGTTTGAACAATTATATCCCATTCAACTTTGCCGGTTTCATTAAAGAGGAAACAATGGATCACTTCTTTTCAGGAAAGCGACTCATTGTCTTGTACCTTCTCACCTAAACAAATGCAAGAATGGCAATTTCAGAACACTTTCTGTAACTGTGGAGATCTGCACTGTGCCAAGCACATGGTATATGACAAGCAGGGCATTAAGGCTTTTGAAGCATGCATGAAATAACCTCTCTGTTCTATTTCCCCATTTTTTAAAAATGAAACATATCTTACTTCATAGGTATCTTACTTTTGTTAAGGACTTAATGAACTGTCTGGTAATTGTACTTAGCTTGAGTAATAATATAACATAGCATAAAATGTAACTCATGGTTAGGACAGAATAAGTCAATTAAGATGATGGACCCTGAAATACAGTCATCCTGATAGAAGTTATAACTTCACCCTTTACTCATGGCATGGCACGAAGGGATTTTCTGAACTCTGAAGTTCCATGTCCTTGCATTCCTGAATTACAAATAATGAGAGTACTGTTCTGTTAGGGTTGCTTTGACTACTGATGCTGTAAATTCATGTCAGTTTCTTCACATAGTGCCCAGGTCATAGTAAATGCTCAATGAGTGGTAGAACATCAGTCATCATGATTATTGTTTTGTCTTTAGGGTCACTATCATTTATTTAATGACCGAGCACCTTCATAAGTACAACTTTGATGTCACTCAAAGAGGCCCTCGACCTCATCAGATTGTACGGAAAGGCCATTCTACCTGCTCTATAGAAACACCTCACACATTTGCCTTGACATTTAAGTGTGGAGAGATGCCCTGGGATCCCAGTTTTATAAAAATGAAAGAATAAAAGCACCAGGGGAGAAGCCGTGAAGCACTGATAACTCTTTTGTGGACAGGCTGGACGTAGGCATACTGAACAGGAGAATTTAGTAAGAGCCTTCTTTTAGGCAGTTTTAAAGAACAGAGGGGCAAGAAGTTACTTGTGAGCAGATGTGGAGTCCTCTTCCCCCTTTACCCAATTTTGTTCCAGAAGGGCTTCTATTCCCAGGAGTGTTTGTTGAACAAGTAAGTCCTAAATTGTGTGAGAACATGTGAAGAATAAAGGTGAATAGAAGATTTCTTGATATTCTGTGGTGGAAATCATTCATAACTAAATGCATTCTTATAGTATATGTCATGAATCGAGTTTCTATATGGAAGTGATCTGTATGAAAAAGAATCATACATGCTGGCCGGTGTATCTCATGAGCTATTTGATTAATTAAGCCACCATTATCAAAACAAAAAAAAATTGCAGTACTTTATCTTACCTGAAAGAAAGACGTATAATTACCTGTTATACCATATCTCAGATGTTTGGTCTAACTATTTCACGTACAATGAACATATTTTTTCCACCATTTATTTAAGCCAGTAACTCAGTTATACATGCAATGGTTTAAGCCTACTCAACCACAAAGTCTCGGGGGGCATAGAAATCCACATTTTAAACAGTCTTCTAGGTGATTCTGCTACATACTTAAATCTGAGAACTGTTTGAGCCCAAAAAAGAGACTGGTGTTCCAAGCTCCCACATTATTATTCATTTGGAGAGTTTGCATCACAGCCTCACACCATGCTTAGTGCATAACGTGTTGAGGAAAAAGTGATGAAATGATAAATCTTTAAATCAACTTCCAAATATCCTGTGAACTGGTAATAGTCAAGACTTTGTTTTAAACCATTTCCGACACTTCAGTTCATTTTAATGCAGACAGCCACTGTCTGGTCATTTTATCTCAAAGTAGATGCCTGGTAGATCACTTGAAGGACTTTATGCTATTAAAATGCATTGAGATATCCATATTAAAAAGGATGAAATTTTCACTGATGCAATAACCACTGAACACACTTAGCTTTAATTAATAGAAGAAAAAGAGCAGATTCACTCAAGGAAGGACCCCTTCACTCAAGATTTTACAGGCACACTGAAGAGATGGCAAAGGGAAACCATGCATCTTTCCCACTGTAAGCTGTCATGAAATCAATTAATTTTTAAGTAATTGGGCAAGTATTTCATGAATATGGCAAAAACATTCTAGAGAGTTCACAAGTTTTTAGGAGTACATATGATGCATATACTTAAAATATTTTTCTTTCTACCAAAAAAGTTAGAATACAATAAAAAATCTAATGTTTAATAATTTATTGTGGAGCAATTTAAAGGGAAGCTGCAAGCTAGTGTATTTCTCTATCAGAAAAGCAAGGCATGAGTGGATGTTGGGATAAGAAAGGGAATTCCAGGGCCATTCTTGGATGTCTGCAGAATCACATTATTTTATTTGTTTTTCTGATACTACTGATTTGGAATAACTTTTCTAAGGCACGAAACAGAAAAACAATGAGAACCGAGGGGCCATATCATAATTCTGACTCTGTTTTTAAAAGAACTCTTCATTGTTTCTCAATCGCACTAAACCTAAGTCAGATACTCATTGGCAGAATTTATTAAACTTTATTTCAGATTATTTTATATGAACTCAAAAATATGTAATAGCAGTAGGCCATTCCTGTCATTAGTAACCATTTAAAAGGCATGTAGGCAGCAAACAAACACACTTTTGATGATCTTATTTGTTAACAACCATAAAACTATCATGGGATCTATTAGAATATCCCCTATGAGTTCTTGTTTATGTTGTTTGTTGATTTTTCCTTAGGTGATGAGTTGGTATTTTTGTGTTTTTTTTCTTTCTCCTCTCACTGCTATTACAACAATGTCTGGCACATGGTGGTTATTTAATAACTATTATCTAAATGAATAAATGAATGGATAAATAACTGAATTATGTTAGGCATGTTTTAGCGTTATCACTGATTCTTACATGACCTTGAGAGATAGGAATGAGAAGACTTAGAACCATAGTGCATCAAGGGCGTTCTATGCATCATCTGATCCCAGATATATCTGATAATAAACTATGTGCATCCTCCTGCCCCAATACGTCAGGCCTCAGAATCTCGTTGACATTCATATCCTCTGTCCATGTATTTTGGTTAAATCAGGGCTTAGACTTTCAAGATTTTGCATAAGGATGAACTCAACCATTTTTGCTGCTCACATACTTTGAATTATAGGTATAAGGTTCCATTCTGATTCTAATAGCACAGCAAAGGAGGCTTAGACATCATAGTTCTTTGTGAGTGTGTGCAAGACGAGAGAGGACTAATCTATTGCAACTGTTGGATTGTTTCCCAAGGCTCCGGAATAAACATCTATGTTGTTGCTTTCTTGGGTAAAACTTAAGTTTCTCTTTCTTAGAAAATCTTTCAGGGGTGAATGAGAACAGAGGAAGTCAAAGGCAGTGCAGAAAGACCAGCACTCATTTTTGGTGTTCTATTTATTCTTCTATAATTGCTTGTTTATTCCTAATTATCAATATGAGCTTTCCTGAAGTACTAACTTCTAGTTCTTAGAGTAGCAGTTGTAAACTTGCAAAAGGAAAAGATGATGCATGAATGAGCATTGTACAGTTCAAATCTCTCAATTTGAAAGTAAAATTGAAGCACAGACCAAAAGGATGGTTACCAGAGAGAAGGGATGAGAAATGAGTGAAAGAAAGAAAATGAATATAGTCAATAATATTATGGTAAATCTACACAGTGACAGATTACTAGAATTAATAGGGTGATCACATTGTAAGGTATATAAAAATATTGAATCACTATATTTTATACCCCAAACTAATATAACCAAATAGAATTGTATACCAATGACACATACATTTTTTTAAAAAGGTAAAATTGCATGAAAGTATTTATATATGCCCATCTATGAGGAAAAATCCATAGCTTTCACAATGGTGTCCACAACCGAGAGGGAAAAAATGTTAAGAAGCATTTCCTAACAGAGGGGCCTTGGAAAATGAAAAATATATATATGCATACAAAATAAAGCAGGTTTTGATATTGATGATAAATTGAAAAAAAAGAATATGGAAATGTGAGAAATTATACTAAAATCCAAACTATAATAATTACTCTCAATTATTTCAAAACTGTATATCATAGTTCAAGTATAAGCACCATTCATAGCCACTTAATACACAGTTTTTGGATGTTTTTGATCATTTGCATGCCAAACCTTTACTAAAACTAAGTTGAGGTGAAATACTACACAGGAGGGGCTCCTGCAAAATGTGTTCATAAAAACTGTGGATTTTCCAGTTCCTCCTGCCTCCTGTTTTATTTCGCTAGGCTCTGCGTGTTTTATGGGTTTTATTACACCTCTGAAATGATCAATATTTTTTTTCTAAACACTCCATCATTTGATTTGCTTTGAAAACATCATTAACAGGATAATATCCACAGTTTTTAACATAGCTTTGAGGTCTGAACTCTCTTACCCTCTCATTGGCTTCTCCATCTTCTACGCCCCACTAGTCCATGGGGACATTTCCTGATACTCCCTTACCATACACACAGCAGTTCCTACACTGAACATGCATCCTCTGGTTTATTTTCCTGGAGAAAGAGTTTTCCAACTGAGTTCCACTTACCACTGGTTCTATAGTTTTCTCTGAATGAAATTTAAAAGATTTTATAATCAACTTTGGTAAATGCCACATACTATAATATACTTCTTTGGTGATTCATGTGTATTTATCAATGCAAGGGAATCTCAGAGTTAAACAAAACCAGCAAATGGTAATGCTATTTAACTTTGTTTAATATGGTTAAATAGTATTTAATGCCCCAAACTTTGTTTAATGCCCCAAACTTATTAGGTCAAACACACACACACACAGACGCCACACCATACATTGGCATGCTAGGCCCTACATGTGTTTCTCAGGCATGCAATGTAGAAATAGTTATCCTCTCAAACCCCATCCAAAGGCCTGGAAGACATTGTAAAGACTTTGTAAAGACCTTAGGAAGGTGTCCTGTCTACATAGTTTGGTGGTTATAGCCTGTCTCCTTTTTCTTTTCTGTCCTTCTAATAACATGTCAGCTCCTCTTGGTACCAGATCTTATCCAATCTATGTCATTAACACCAAGCTTAAAACCTTCTACTCTCTAGTGTCAGTTTTACTTTCCTCAAAAAGGCATGCACATGAACTCGGCTTCCAAGGACAAGCAGAAACAAATGAGCATGCATGTGCCCACATCACTCCCTCCCTAAATTATTATTTGGAAACTTGTAGGTTGACCACAAAACCAAGAGAATGCATCAATCTGCAGCGACTCAAAATATTTAAACAGTCCTTTACACCATTTCCCCTGTGGATCATCGATCTCATTTAGGTGAGGGGCCAGAAAGAACCTGTGGAATACAGACTCCCCCAAAAGGTGCAACCCTCCCCTGCAGAGGCTGCCAGCATGCCTTCAAAATCAATTTAGAAAGTATGTGTTCTACCAGTTGGTTCCAGTGGATTTGAAAAGAATAGTTATATTAACTCACCAAATCATATTGGGAGCGATGAAGAGGGAGCCCTTGCTTCACCCTTGACAAGACCCGTGTAAATGTTTCATAAGAAGCATGTGTAAGGAAATGTTTTATAGAAGAAGAGTTTGATATAGGGGAACAGATGGTCTTATCACATCAACCCATTTAGGGATGACTTATAGTGTTTTGCTTCAAATCAAAGCTTATAAAAATACAGCAATAACAACAACAATAAAAACAACAAATACAATGCTAATATTTGTATTTTTGACTTTGAGACTAGTTCAAGTAGATACTACTGATAATAACAATGATTTATTGAGCATCTAAATTATGACACATCCCTAAAATAATGAAGATTAAGCTTAAACTAATGAAGATTGAGACCCCAACTCGAGAAACACGTAAGTGATAAAGCTGTGATTCGCACTGAGGTCATTCTAGTTTCCAATTTTCCACAGTGTTTGAAAGGTAGGCTTTTCCTCCTGACAAAGTTGTGCTCTTCAAGTCATACTTCTACTAATGGCTCTCTTGAAATAGGTTTTGTTACATATGATTTTCTCAGATATCGTTTTATGCATTTCACTAATTTACCATCTCCTTACTCTTGCCAAAATAAAATGAAAACAGTACTTTATGCATTTTGTGGAGGCCATCAATTTCATCCGCTGTAAAACCAATCCTGTCTCCCTCTTGTGTATGCAGATAGGTCCTGAAAAATGCCTGTTGGCAGAAAAGTTAAAATTAATTCTCCTATATTTACTGCTTCATGAAGGCTATAAAATGCCATAATTGCATTTCATTGTTTTGCATTTATTAAAGATCAACAAAAACGGAAAAATACATAAGTGAAGTAGCAAACTCATTCATTGCTGGTGTTTAGCAAGAGATAATTATCTTTTCTTATTAAGCTTTATTTCTTTTCACTTAAGTTTTCATGGCATGCTTTTGAATACAGTGTGTTACTGGTCACAGGAGTTGATCTTGGTTTTCTTTTGAAAATGCTCACATTGATCAGAATCTCGTTCTCATTACTATTTTTGCAAGAAGTGTGCCTCACTGGCAATGGAGTTTCAGTGTCTGCTTCCTCCTCGGGAAGTGTGGTGAGACTCGAGAAAGTGCAAGGACTTGGGCACCTTCAAGAACCAACTTTGAGACACAGCTTTGCCCCATTCCTTGGCCTCAGGCACGAACGAGCCTTACCCTTTTCCAGCCTCAGCCCCCCCATCTGGAATGTGATTGCCACCCCAAACTCTAGATCAGTGATGATTATATGTTAGATATTTGTATATATTATTGCATCTGTGCACTTTTATAATCACTTTTCTCCATCTCTGCTGCCACCACCTTAGACCAGACTAATGTTAATCTTTTGCATGTACAACCTTCCTAATGTTCCCCCTGATTAATTGTGCACCTGTGTATGTGTGTGTATGTACATTTTATTGAAACATCAGGCTCTCTCTGTCCAATCTCATACTTGCGTATCATACTTATTATTATACTTGCTTAGGACGCTTATGTTTTCAAGTCTTCAGACAAACCAAGGTCTTTCTCCTTTCACGGTCTTTGCACAAGCTTATGCTGTTGGCTAGAAGACCCTGTTCTGCTCTGGCATGCCTGGCCTTTTTCCATCTTTCTTCTGGTTCAGCTCAAATGATACCAATATACAAAGTAACTTTCTCTGACAACACTCTGTAAAATACATCTTTGCTTTTTCTTTGTTTCCTCCAGACTAGTTAGTTGCATTCATGTTTCTTTGACTCAGTTTTCAAAATTTAAACCTGTTATTTATTCATTTTATTTTTAAAAAATAACTTCTCTTTCTTATTAATTTCTATTAGACAGAGTTGGTTTTTGTCCTCATAGTATTTTCCCCAGGTTTATATTACAATATTTAGCATCTTGTAGAGGCACAGTAAATATCGTTCAATAAGTAAATGAATGATTTTTCATTTGAAGAGGTTAGCTTATGTGCTGCGTATCTGTGGGTAGAATGAGTGTTTCCATGGTAATATCTGAGAAACTAATTATTGAAATAACTGTCATTGCTGAATGAAATGAATCAAAATCATTATTTTTAAATTCTGTGAATATCCATTACATGCCAAGCACTGGTTAAATACATATCCAGAAATATAGGCTATTATCTTTTGGGGGGAGAAGGAGGCTGTGATATTTCTGTAATAAGCTAACTTTATATACTGCCGTATTGGTCAGAGAAAGAAGAGATTAAAAAAGGTAAACTGAAGTATTTTTTTAACCCAGACATAATTAACTTGATTCGAAATAGTGCATCTCAACTACCATAGAAGGTGATGAAGCTTCAGTTATTCTCCCCTAGATTTATTTATAGTAACAGAGGAATCTCCTTCCCAAAGAAAAAAGAGTTGAAGCAGGTTGTTGCCTAACTAATTATCAAACAGTGAATACCGTCTGAGAGCAAACACGAGACCTCGACTCACTCCTAGAAATACGTTTCTAGTTCAACCCCTGTGTCAGTGAACTATCTGGACCAAATTACCTTAAGCCCGTATGTGTGGTAAGCAAAAGGCCAGCATCGAAAATAAAACCCTACAACGGCCATATTAAGGAGAAGAGATGGAGACCAGTATCACAGAAGGCCCGCTGGCCAGCGCTGATCGCTGAAGTTCTCGGTTTCTGTTCCACATTTGGCTTTGAGTGCGGTGTTATCAGGCATAACGAAGGAAGTTCATGGTTTCTCCACATCTGCTACTTGTTTCTCCACCTGTCCACCCAGATCACCATCCTCTTCAGACAGAGTTAGGGTTACTCCCCGCTGACTCCTTTCCAGTACTTGACAGATGTTTCCTGTCTCTGGTGGAACGTGTCCTACATTAAAAGGTCTTTTCATTCAGATAGCTCCATTTCCTTTATCTCCTCGGTCTTCTTTTCTGCCTAGAAAAGTTTGAGGTATTTTCTTGCAATTCCATCATTTCTAATTTTATTGTGTGTTTGACAGAGGGGAAACTGTAGGAGGGAAACATGCTGATATATAGGACATTTTTTCCACTAAATCCCCAGTACCAAGCCAAGGTCTGGCATATAGTTAGTGTTCAGTTCATACTGATTGCCTGCAACCTACATGTGAACAGTCATACATTTTGCTTTCTAATTTTGAAATCCTGAGTCCACACTCTCATACCTGCCTTGGTCATTAGAGATTTCAAGGAAGTAGAGACCATCTTTTTATATTTCCTATTAACTGAGGGCCAAGTAATTTGTAGTCAACTTTACCATACCATCATTGCATTAGGGACTAAAGACAGATGCCATCTCTGATCTTCTGACTTAAGATAAATTATCTATAACTATCGAAACATTTTAAATATAAAAGTAACCAGTAGTCTGAAAATACCATACTGACATTTAGTTAAGTAATGGAGGAAAGATTTAAAAGGATTCTAATCAGAGGGATTCACATTGATTTTGTATAATATGGAATGTGAACTACTTTTCTGTGTCATGGGTGGCTGTTACTCTCCTAAGGGAACAGATTCAAGAAAAAGTCATCTTTCATTTGAGAATCATGAGGGGGCAATAGGGGCTGACATGATTTGCAATTCTACTTTGAAAGTGAACCTTTGCCGATTTTAGCACAGATAACAACATGGACTGGAAAGTTATACTGGAGAAGAGGAAACTGGCCTCCTTTCTTTCTTTCTCTTTCTTTCTGTCCTTTCTTTCTTTTTTGATTCTTTGTTTAGATAAGTTCAAGCCAGTGGAAGAGAGTCAAAGGTAATAGAATTGTCTATGTTTATGATGACACTGGTTTGGTCTTGTGAGATGTTTTAAAGACCTCCTGAAGGCAATCTCCATGTGGAAGTTTTGAGACTGGGTACTCTGAATGGCTGGTCTTGTTTATTACAATGATCTCCAGCTATATTGTCTCCCGGAAACCTAATCCCCTCTGAATTTAGCTTGAATCCATACTTTCCAGGCAAACCAGATTTCAAAGGCCCCTCGCTCCTTCCTCTGAGGCTGTTTTAAAGCAGACGTGATTGTTGAAAAATATTGAGTGCTTATGAATCTAGTGCTGATTCCGTTTTTGACATTTGTTTTTCATGAGTGTGTGATCCTTTGAGAATGAACGTTCTGATTTCAAAATGAGTCAGAAGTCTGTGTGGCATGAGGAGAAATGATCAAAGGTGTTCTCTATGTGGAACTTGCATAAGTAAACACCGGTGTAGGTAACTAAGATGAATGTTTGGAAAACATGAAATATAAAAATGAGATACTCAAGCCATTGAACGTGACCTGGGAGTGATGTAATGAATCAAATATGAGCTCTGATTAGCACCAAGAAATCAGGGAATCCAGGAGATGAACGACTGCGGATGCATATCCCAGTCAGTCACATGTCCAACAAGGATGCTGACCAGCCAAAGATCTCCCCTCTTCATGTAAAATAAACTCCTAAGAAACACACCTGCACAGACTCATTAGAGGCTAGTGCAATGACATGCACACAGCACACACACCTCTTCCCAGGAGTCATTTTGATTTGCAAAACTCATAAACCAAAGAATCAACTTTTCTTTTATTTTGATCTTGCATAGGAAAGGTGATGAAACCACATGATTTTTTCCCTGAGGGTCAGAACTGCTGAGGAATCATTAAAACCTTGGAAACGGTGAAAATCCACCAGCTAGAACTCCAGCTTCCTGGAGTTCTGAAGGCGTGCACATCAATATCACAAGTGAAGCCAATGTCGAATGTCTGAAATACCAATGCCAATGACTCTCTAAACTTGTGTGATGAGTCCCGCATGAACAATGGCGTTTTATTTAAATTCTAATGCACTTGACGGTTCGGTATGATTGAAAGCGGCTGGCCTATGAGTCTGTGATTGGCTACATGACCCCAGCAAGAATCCAGATCCCACAAACGTACGCTTGAAACTGACCCGCATATATTTTGATCAAACTCTCTGCCAACTCAATCTACCAACTTAGCTAAATGTATTTACTGCCATATAAACACACATACCTACCTGGCATACTTACACAGAGTGGGGCAAAAGTAGGCTTACAGTTGAATGGACACAAAACAGTTTATTCTTTTATTATTATGAATTAATTATGATAGTATATTTCAGGCAAACAACTGTAACCCTACTTTTGCCCCACCCTGTATATATATCAACACTCCCTCCTTGAAGGGTCCCAAATGAAAGTCCTCAAAACATATGCTAGACAAGGAAATTAAGAAACATTTCAACTAATGTTAGAATATTATACGAAATGTTATAGTATTAAAAATTCTATCATTGTGAAAGGTTAAGGTTTTGATAATAACATTTATGATGTCCAGATGTTTGCAATTCATCAGTTCTATGGTTACAATTATAGCTTTGCTCTCTGTGTGTGAGTGTGCTATTTTGGTAGGTAGAAATGATGCTAATGCTTCAGATACATGAGAGAAATCTAAGGGGGAATGTTCACTGTCTCACAGGACAGGACCACACTGGTCTTTTGTAATAAATAAAAGCATAAAGCTACCGTGCTGTTCCTTTCTTTTGGCGGAACAAATCTGACTCTTGTCAGGTAAACTGCTCAGCAAACAGTACGCTTAATTCCTAACACCCACATGAGGCCCGAGAATAGTTGGATTAACAACTCCAGTGTCATGCTGTCAGCTGCTGTTTATTTAAATTAAAATGTCACCATCCAGAAATAAATGAGAAAGTTGAAAAAATGATAAATTTCTTAAACATACAGTATTTGGGTACCTTGTGCAAATGAGTCTATTACATTTGTGTTTTTTTCGAACTTTACATAGACTATTTCCATTTTGACATTCAGAGGATAGCAGGTTTCGTCGTTTTGTTCTTGCTCATAACTCTCTTCCTCCAGCCCTCCCTCGCAACTTCCCTTCCTCCCTGCCCCCTTCTTCCTTCCTTTCTCTCTCTCTCCCTCCCCCTTCCCCTCCCTCTCTCTTCCTCCCTCCTATTTATGCTATATGAGACAAGTAAAAAAAAAATCCTGTCAGTATATACATTTATCAGAGACTATAGTTGTGTGTCCAAAACATGTTGTTTATCTGATGTTTAACTACATTCTCTTATGTTTTTAGAGATTTCAAAATTCTCTGCATACCACTTCCCCAAAACTGGTTGTCCTGGGTTCTACTATCAGGAGTTATTCCTATGTTCGATGTGGAACAAGCGTGTGCCCTCCCCCACGAGCTTTCCCTGTGCCTCCTGTCATTTGAAGGTTATATTTCTGGCCCCAACACTCTAATACCTCCCCTGCTCACATCCATATCCAGAGATATTTTAAGATCGTACTTTGGCTCCGGGTTCACAGCACAGCAGGTCGTTCCACTTCCAGAGCCAATTTGGTCATAAGCAGAGAGAATCAACGTCTCAGAAAAATAACTCCCTCTCTGTTTCCATTCGGATGCCTCTCGCCTGTGACTTTGCAGAATGTAAATAATGCAAACGCACACTATCAGGCAGGTCAATCAAATATGAGACAGTTGTATACAAACATAGCAGCATTAACAACATGGAGATATTTACTTGGCCGGGTTTTCCATTTTCACATAAAAATGCCTCATATTCGGATGCGAATTCAGGGGCGTTGTCATTGACATCCAGCACTTTAATAGCAACAGGCACTCGTGATATCTGACTGTGGTTCCCTATGGGAAGGAAAAAATAACATCAGCATCGAGGGCATTTCATTTAAACGTGCAACTCAACTTTCTTTTTGAAAGCAGGTGTGTCTGTTTCAACTTCCCTTAATTAGGGTGTTTTCGACATGGTGGTTATAAAATCTGACCACTCAATGAGAAAAAAAATAATCAAGCGCTTCACTGCTTAAAAAAAAAGAAGTATATATTATTATTTCAAACACCATTTGCTGGAACTTTGCCTGATAAAGACCATCTTTGAATAATTAGAAGTTTTCCCTGATGAAGAAAGCTTCACTTTATTGAGAAAGTCTGTGATACAAAAGAAAAAATGCTGTAGGCAAGAAAGATTTATCTCTTTGTTTATCTTGGGTAGACTATAACCCATTGTGTGCTATCACTTGTTTGACTGCTTAGCTATTAAAGATGAACATCAAAAACCCAGCATAAGAGTAGAGCCAAATCAGTTGCAAAGAGGGTGTCCTTAACAATGGTAAAATAAATCATCTTAAAGATGGAGGATTGTATCTTTTGCAAATTTTATTTTTTATTAAAAATTGACTTTGGGATTTTTTTTTGGATAAGGAGAAGTCATTTTAATATTGTAGTTTTCATAAACATTTTCATCAGTGTAAATAGATAATAATCTAATTTTTCCAGGCCAATTCCAATAGCAGAGAATTTAATATGCATTCCTTAATCCTCGAGACCTTAAAGTTATATATACACATGCACAGAGAAGTCTGGCCCATTAATATATCGCTGACTTGGGCCATGTAATGATTTTCCTTTTGTAGTAAATATAATAGTCTGACTCTGACTGTATAATCTTTTGATCTCTTGTAAATTATACAGAATGCATTAGAGATGGCCAATTGTATATTTGTGTTTCTGTGGCACTGAATATTTATAAGCAAGCCAAGAAGAGAAAAGTGTTTGACTTTTGAATGGGAAGAAAACAGTTTTATTTGATATATCAGACCTTCTTTTGGATCACTGATTCAATTCAGATCTCTAAAACCTTCAAATACTCATGTTTTTGTTGTTAAATATGGAAGTATTTCTAAAGCACACAGCAAATGATCAGAGCCATGTTACAAATTTATATGTGGTTAACCCTACTGGCAATGCTACAAGTTTTAAATTTGGTTAACTACCATGGCTACTCTCCAAGATTCTAATTTGATTAACTAAGGACGGATGAATATTATCCTGTGGAATTCTAACCACCTCCAAAATGGAACATAACCTCACTTCCCCTACATCAAGCCAATGGCCTGAAATGTGTTAACTGGTCCATCCTTTCTCTTTTACTCTCTTGCATCTAAAAAAAATCAGCCCTGGCTGGTGTAGCTCAGTGGACTGGGCGTGGGCCTGTAAACCAAAGGATTGCGGTTCGATTCCCAGCCAGGGCACATGCCTGGTTGCAGGCCAGTCCCCAGCAGGGGACCCACGAGAGGCAACCATACACTGATATTTCTCTCCTTCTCTCCTTGTCTCCTTTCATTGCCCTCTAAAGATAAATAAATTAAAAAATATTTTAAAAAAATCAATTCATTCTTCATTCAAAGAGGAAGCAAGAGCCTCCCAACTTTTGACAGAGGAGAAGATTTTTTAAAAGTATAGCGCATCAACCTAAGATAAGGAACTTATATTCCGTGCTTTATCTACTTGAATAAATCAGATAAATAAGGCATAATGTATTTGATATAAGGTATAATTATATGCTTAGAGATGTCTATTGCTTTTAGCCTGACCACATGCTCAAGAGCAGCTACTGGAGAGTGAGAGGGAATAAATATAGTGTTTGCAGTGAACAATGTATAGAGCTCCATCCCCGTCTCCTACTACCTACAAGATCCTGAACAATTTACTTGATTTCATTTTACTCCTGAGGAAATTGAAACTCAAGAACTTAACGTATTATTTACAGAATCGTGATTAACATTTTATGAGAAAAAATTAAAAGTGCTCCAATAGTTTTGGGCACAAAGTCAAGGGCATGTTAGCCTTTGCTTTTTGTAATCACAAACATCATCAGCACCATGAATACTGAGAGTTGACTGCACACAGCAAGGGATATTTCACAAAATCATACCTCATCCATTCCTTGCTAAAGAGCTATGAAGCAGGTAATGTGAATCCCATATTTTAGATGGAAGCTGGCACTTGTAGGATCACATGCCTTTACCAAGATTACTGAGTTGTAAACTAACTCCAGGATGTAGCTTTGGCCTTCCAAACATGACCATTTTTCACACAGTATACTATTGATAAAGTTCAACTCAGAATGTATTTGTTTTGTTTGCTTGCCAGGTGACTAGTCACAGCCATTTCCTCAAGAATGCTTATATGCTTGTTATAAATATTCATCTCCAGTTTGATCTTTATTTGAACTTTGTATTCAGATATCCAATACGAAGCTGGATACATCTAAAGCATTGTACCATGATCTATATTCTCAGAATTGTGCTAATAACCTGCAAGCTTCTCTGAGAGACTGCCCAACTTAACATATATACTTTTGCTCATGGTACTGTTTCACCCAAGTATAGTCCCTTTAATTAATGAATTTTACTTTGTAATACTCTGTATTCAACTCTTAAGAGCTATTATTTATTTATTTGTTTGTTTATTTATTTATTTATAAAATAGTCATTCTTTCTATTCCCCATCTTAGACCAATTCTTGTGTTGTACATAATGATAAAAGCCTTCTGTTACTTTATATTTTGTCTTTAATCTCTCTAACCATTTGATTAATAAATAGCTCATGATCAGTATAGACTTTATAAAGTCCAGATATGTAATAGATAGTGAACAATAGGTACACAGTCTTAGAAAACTGCAACTACAAGGAAAAGCTATTGAACTCCTTAAACATGATTTTGCTCCTTGAGAAATGAAGAAAAGGCTAATCTTACTGAATCAGATTCCCAGACAACAGTTGATTGGGTGGAGTCTACTAGACATGATATTCTTTGTCTCCCCCCTCTCTCGCCAAACATGACCATGAGCACATGCTCACACGTGCAAACACCCCACAGACAAACATGCATGTACATGCTTTATTTTCTCCATTTTGGCAAAAGAATAATTATGCTGAGGCCAATGCTCTTAGTTTGCTCTCTTCTCTTTTGTTAATCTCACACTTGCAATTAATTGCAATTTTCTCTTAGATCTTAATGATCAGCCAATAGTAAAATTCAAACATAGAAGGTGAAGAAGCTCTGTGAGGTTTTTTATTCGGATAACTTTCAACATTAAAGTGATACACACTTTCTTGTACGTAAAATAGTATCTGGGACAAGGTCATATTTCACTGTTCAGGGGCCCAGATCCCTAGAATAATGGCACCTGTTTTAGTTGTATTCATAGACGTTGAATGTACTGTGGGATTGGGAGCTGTCACTTAATACTTTTAGAAGATCATGAATGACAGAGAATGTTCTTCTGATTTTCATATTTAATCTGTCTCAACAACTCTACAAGTAAATAATCTGTTTAAATATAATGGACAATCAGGTTTTTGTAAATGCTTATATATCTTTCTTCCATATGGCCTATCAAAACCTCAAAACCAAATGTGAAATCCAACTCTCACAGCTATAAAGAACTGTATATATTATATATACCACAAATTGAATGTATGTTTTATATTCTCTCAACTATTCCCCAAATTGACTAAATTAATGTCTGTCTTCCTGTGTACTTTAATTGAATACATTTCTAGGTGTTTTCCTTTAATTTAGTACTTTACATTCTAAGCTCATTAATAAAAAATAATTAAAAGAAATAAAACCTAAACAGTTTATCCTAACACTAAAAAGTGAAACGCTAAGGGAATATGGTGAGACGGTTACAATTTCTGTAGCTTTACAGTTTACATAAAACATACAGGGCAGTTTGCCCGAACTCAATATAATATAATCCCTCCTTTTTCTGACTGTTCAACTCTTTGTTGCCTTTATGATTCAGCCCAAGCCACCAAAAAGCTTTTTATCACATAATTCATTTTTATTGATGAATAAGTGCTCTATTGGCCCCCAGAAAAACTGGTGAAAATTATTAAAAAAAAAATTAAATTCCATGGGAAAGATCCTAAGAGCATACAGAAAAACAAAAACCAAAAACATTCGAAGAAAGTCTGTAGTATTTGAAATAAGACCTGCTCACTTCATTCACTGTCACAGCTCAGCTCAATGGGAAATAGACTCCAGACTAATACAACCAAGAAAGAGGGCTCCCTCCCTCCCCAGCAGTTAGTCTAGGACCATCTACCCTGGAGAGCTGGGATGTTAGCATTTCTTATCCTGCCCAGATACTGCTTGCTGAAGCTTAAGTTCTGGGCAACTACAGGTGGGGGCTGCCTTCTTCCACCTAGTCCCTACTCCTTGAACAATGTGTCACTGAGAATCCTGGGGTTGTCACCCTTGCCATGGCTCAGAGGTGGAGGTTTCTTGCAAGAAGACTGAGGCCACTCCCTCCCGCTGTCACAACACACTCAGCCTCTAAAGCAAAAGTGTCCCTTATCTGCTCCAGAGACTTGGCTCTGATTTTTTCTGGGGATGGATAAGAGAAGCATAAAGCAGAGAGCTCTGAATTTCTAATGAGGGAACTAACTTCCTTTGCAAAGGAATGTGGAGTTCAATGTCATCAATGATCTCAAAACAATGAAGGTTGTGAAAGGCAAATGGGAGAAGATTGGTAGAGTTGGTAGATTCCTTAGAGATATGGGCTAAAACTGTGGTCCAGCTAGTGACCATAGAGAATCAGAAAGACACCCTGAGGGGAAGCCAAGGCATTGCTTGGCTGGATCTGCATGACTCCAGATTCCCCTACATCATCACAAGATCATCCATCTTTTTCTTCCTAGATCACTGACTCTTTTAAGAACACTTGTCATTGGGTTTAGGGCCTACCCAGGTAATACAGAATGATCTCATCTTGAGACACTGAACTTCATTGCATCTGCAAATACTCTTTTCCAACATATTTATACGGGCACCT